TTTGCACATTTTCGCGTCGATTTCCTCAAGTAGGTTATATTGCCTAGAACACAAAAAAAACGATACACCGCATGCTGTGGCATTGGCCCTTTTCACAGGGCAGCACCCTGATACTGCTGTATGGGGGTGAGCCTTCCTCAATTCTAAACAGTTGAAGATTGCTTTCTGGTCGCGGCGAATACCAGGCAGTATAGTTCAAATGGTTTGCGCATGTTCGCTTCGCGTTTCTCAAGTCCCCCCGTATCTTGTTGATATACTATGATGCCACTCATGCTGGGGCATTGGCCCTTTCACAAGGCAGCGCCCTCCACATGCCCGAGGTCCTGCACACCTTCAGCATGTGCTTGCCGAGTGTTGAGGAGACTGTCAGGCTGAGGTGAACAGAAGTGGTTGTCACTAGGCATGTGGAGTGCACATGCCTACCACCAGTCTAAGGCGCATAATATTCCACAATCGCGCGTACAAACGGATCTAGGACAGAAGAACATCCTACAAGAACACGAGACCCTCCACTGTCCAAAGCACACAAGAAGATCCGAGGGTACCCTCCACAGGATGCACCAGAACATCAAACAAACAGGGAGAGCAGTAGGGTACCTCCCCGAAGCGACCTCGATCGTCGACCTCTTTCCGACTGTACAATCATCAGCGAAAGGTGCGACTTCCCCACGTTCACCGGCAACGGCGGTGAAGGATGGCAAAAGCCCTGCTTAACCACCCGACATCCAGTCGGGGCGTTGACCCGAGGAACCCGAAATAAGGAACGGGGCCCCTTTTTCCACGAGTGGAGCTTCGATTCCCCGTCGAAGACCCCAGGAACACCTGAGGCAAGCTGGGACACAGTCAGGGAACTCGGAGCCCCTCCCCATCGAGAAGGGTTCCTCCTTCAGCGCCCCGACTGTACAAAGGGTTCTGCCCAATTGCCCTCACGGGCGTCCAAGCCACGCTGCACGGGAGGAGGAGGCGGAGGAGGAGGAGGAGGAGGAGGAGGCGTTTGTTTGTGTTGTGCCAGCACCGTGCCCGCCGCCGTGCAAGAACCAATGCGCAGACAGCTCGGCCAGCGGCGCACTGAGATGACGGCAAGTTCACCTGTAACTTACACTGCACTCCTCCACCTCCACCTCCTCATCCTCCTCCTGTCCCCCCTCCCTCATCCACCTCCATAATTCAACCTCCTCCTCCGCCTCCTCCTCTTCCCCTTCCTCTCCATCATCCTCATCCTCATCCTCATCATCACCATGATCATGATCAGCAGTGCTATCGTCAGTAGCATCAGCATGCTAATCAGCATCACCATCAGCATCATCACCACCATAATCACCACCATAGTCGTCACCACCATCACCACCACCACCATCATCAGCAGCAGCCAGCACCAGCGACATCATCACACCATAAGCAGCATCATCATCATCACAATCATCAACAGCATCACCATCGCATCAGCATCAGCATCAACACCAGCACCAGTACCAGCATCATCAGCATCGGCATCAACATCCGCCTCAGTATCAGCATCAGCATCATCGTCATCATCATCAGCAGCAGCATCAGCATCATCGTCATCATGATAAACATCACCATCATCACCCTCCCTCCCCCCAGTGCTTCATCCGCCCTCCACTCCTCTCCCCTCCTGCACCTCCCCGCTCCCTCCCCTCCCTCTCCCTCCCGCTCCCTCTCACTCCCACTCCCTCTCCCCCACACATCCCAGGATGAGCTGTTCCCATGCGCTGCGCAAGGGGTCCCGACCCCTTCCCCGAGGCCAGTGTTCGCCCCGGGTCTCTTGTTCATGGCCTCCGGACCCGAAGAAGGGCCCCTGTGAGGCAACATCAGAAGGAAGCACGGATTGAACAACTCGGATCGTTGGAGAAATGGGTGCCTCTCCCGCACCCAGCCGCTGCCTCCCCACCTCCCTCTCCCCTGCTCCCTCCCCCCCCCCCGCGACTTCCGCCGCCCCGCCAGCGCCTGCGGCGGGAGCACCTCGCCCGTCGCTGCGTCGGGCGTCGCCGCCTGAAGAGGAGGTGGGGAGGAGAGGAGGAGGAAGGGGACGAGGATGAGGCGGAGGTAGGAGGAGGAGGAAGAGAAAGGGGGAGGAGGAGTGAAGGAGTGGAGGAGGATCGCGAGGGGACGAGGAGCGCAGACGAAGAGGAGGAGGGAGGAGGAGGAGGAGGAGGAGGAGGAGGAGGAGGAGGAGGAGGAGGAGGAGGAGGAGAGGAGGGAGGAGTAGGGAGCAGTAGGGAGGAGTAGGGAGGAGGACGAGGAGGAGGAGGAGGAGAGGAGGAGGAGGAGGAGGAGGAAAGAGAGAGAGGAGAAGGGGAGGAGGAGGAGGAGGAGGAGGAGGAGCAGGGAAGAGGGGGAACCCCGCCCCCCGCGTGCAGGGGGCCGTCCTCGGCGAGCTCGGCCAGCAGCACGTCCACCACCTCGTGGCACAGTACCTCCGGCCGCGGGCCGTGCGCCCGAGGCGCGCCGCAGAACGAGGGTCCTGTACCTCCAGAAGGAGAAGAACGGATCCTCCTCCTCCTCCTCCTCCTCCCTCCTATCTTAGGCGACCCGTCCTCCAGCTCCTCCTGCTCCTCCTCCTCCTCCTCCTCCTCCTCTTTCCTCCCCCTCCCCCTCCTCCTCCTCCTCCTCCTCCTCCTCCTCCTCCTCCTCCTCCTCCTCTCCTCCTCCTCCTCCTCCTCCTCGGGTCCCGTACGGCCCCGGGGGAGAACGCGTCGACATGCAGATTGGAGGGGCAGGTCTGACCGTCCGCCTACAGTCGGACTTGGGCCAGAAGAGCATCCTTCAATCGGGTCGGGCGAAAGGGGGGGATAGCAAAAGGGGGGGTTTGAGAATCAGCTCACGTAGCTGATTTTCCCGGCGCCTCCCGGCGCCGGGAGGCGGCCATGTATCGAGGGATGGACCCCCTCGGCGGGGCCGAAACAAGCTGCATGCAGCAAATTTCGTAACCCCCCTTTCTCAATCCCCCCCTTTCGCCCGGCCCGATTCAAGAACATGAGATCCTCCGTCGCCCAAAACAAACAAAACATCTAAGGTTGCCATTTCCAAGATGCACAAGAGCATCCAACATCCAATAAGCACGAAGAACACTAGGATGCCCTCCCCGAACCGACCTCGATCTTATACCTGCGCCTTACTGAACTATGCGACGGCCCCTCCAAACGACGGCCAGACGAGGGAAGCATCCACGGACTTCGTTCAGGCGCGAATCCTGCATGCGAGCCCTCCTGGGACGGCCCTCCTTGCGGGCAACCCGGCCGAACTCCTGGCGGAAGTCGCCCCAGCGAGGCCGCAGAAGCATCGAAACACGCCCCCCGCGAGCCCCGTCGCCAGCCTGCTCGGACTCCGCCTCACCGTCCGACTGGGGCGGGGGGGACAGGCTTGGCGAAGCTTGGCAGGCGATTGACCCAAAAGGGGCCCCGAACCCTTTGGGAGGGGACCTAAGCTAAAAGGGCAAACACAAATCAGGGATATGGGGGTCTTTTCTTGACGATCGAACAACACGCACCCATACCCATAGGGGGGACGGAGGGGGCTATGGGTGCGTGTTGTCGGATAGGGGGTCCCCGCTCGAACGGGAGCTTCCCCCAGGGTCCGACAACTCGCACCCATACCCATAGCCAGCTCCCCTCCTTTCGACCCTCCTATGGGTATGGGTGTGAGTTGTTCGCTCGTCTTTTCTGTGGATGCATCAGACCGAGCCGCCCAGAAGAATCACCTCCGATGCGAAGACGGGGACCTCAGGGAGGCCGCGTCTTCGTGGTGTGATCAGGGCTAGGGCCTCTCCTCTCCTCCTCCTCCTCCTCATCCTCCATATCCCCCCGCAGAAGCGGATAAGAGTGGTCGATGAGGAGGGGCTCCCAAGCAAAGGGGTGGCAGGGACCGCGGGCGGGGGGAGCAGGCACAGCAGGCGCAGCAGGCGCAGGAGGCGCACTGAAACCCGGGAGGCGCCGCCGCCACCACCGGTGGGAGCTGGGGAGGGTCGTTCCCCGGGGCGGCCCGCCGAGTGAAGCGAGAGGGGGCACGGCGAGTTCGTGCGGCGTCGGCGCGCGCAGAGGTCTTTGGCACCGCGTCGATCGTTCCATCTCGAGTCGATCGCGGCCCCGATTGTTCAAGGTTGAATCTAGTCGGGTCCGATGGCATTGCCGTGCCCATCGGTGCTTCCTCGTTGCAGAATTCAACATTTCACGCCTTCGCTGTCGTCGCCAGCGCGTCAACGCCGCACGAACCTACCGTACAGCCGGACCGTATCACAAGGACAAGCGACAAGGATGCAATGTCCTTGGAGGGCCATGCTCGTCGAGCTGGGCGCCGCCAACGAAGTGGCCAAGGATGGACCGAGGAGGCAAAGATGCAGGGATACCCTTGGGAAGGTTGCCCAACCTTACTGTGCGGGTTGATTGTAAGCCTTCTGAGAAGACGGCGCTTCTCCTACGCCTCTTCTGATCTGCTGAGCAGCCGTCTATGTCTTCGGAGGAGGCTTCGGAAGCTTCTGAGAAGGCCGGCGTCGAGGAGCACAAAACTGCATAAAGATGCACTATTGGAGGTCCGCACGGATGTCTTGATCTACGGCGGACCTCTTTTCGCCTCCCCCGCTTCCCCGTCGTCATCGTCGTCGTCGACCTCCCAGGCGCGCGGGGGCACCAGCGCCGATCCGAGAAATTCGCGCCGAGTTCCGAAAGTTTATGCTCATGCCCATGTGTAAGGTTCGAAAGAAGCCTTCTGAGCCTCCTTTCGAAACCAGACTCTAAGTGAGAGGGGGCTGGCCTTTTCAGAAGGCGGAGAGTGCCCGGCCGGGGATCTACTGACGCAGGTCAATCCAGACAGAGGTCAGTCACGCTTTGCAGGATCCTGCCGGATCCTGCGGGATCCTGCAGGATCCTACGCCCAAGCCCGCGGCCCTGCAGGATCCTGCAGGCTCCAGCACTCCGGCTGACCCCTGTTTGCACTGACCACCGTGCCTTGACCCCGACTCACAAGACCTCTCAGGAGGTCGGAGGCTTTCTGAGCCTCCCCATCTGCCCCCATCTGCCTTCCCCCCATCTGCCTTCCCTTTGTGGGCCCCGGAAACGGCAGGGCCGTTTTTTCTACCGTTTCCCAAAACAATGTCCCTTGAACATGGAAACGGCAAACAAACGGCGACCGGAAACGGCAACAAAAACGGCTGCGGGATTGGAGCCGGAGCCGGAACCGGTCGAAAAGCGGCGACGGAACCGGTGACAAAAACGGCGTCGGAACGGGCAACAAAAACGGCAAGACGGAACCGGTGAAAACACGGCCCTGTCGTTTCCAGGGCCCACTATCGAGTGCCTGCCCCCCTGCGCGCGCCGCTCTGGCTTCCCCCCATATCTGCCTGCCTTCCTCCCCATCTGCCTTCCCCCCATCTGCCTTCCCCCCATATGCCTTCCCCCCCCCCTGCCTTCCCCCCTCTGCCTTCCCCCCCCTGCCTCCCCCCCCATCTGCCTTCCCCCCATCTGCCTTCCCCCCATCTGCCTTCCCCCCCCCCTGCCTTCCCCCCTCTGCCTTCCCCCCCCTGCCTCCCCCCCCATCTGCCTTCGCCCCTGCCTTCCCCCCCCTGCCTTCCCCCCCCTGCCTTTCCCACATCTGCCTTCCCCCCGTCTGCCTTCCTCTTCGGGCGGGGCTGAATGGGGGGGTCCATAAACGGGGGGATCAGAAAAGGTCCCCTTTCGTGCCCCTTCCGGGCCCCTCCAGAGCCCCAGGGGGCTGGTTTAGGTAGCGTTTGGGTACCTCTTCGAACCACCCTCGCCAACCCCCCATTTATGACCCCCCCATTACGCGGCGCCCAACCTCTCCTGCCTTCCCCCCCTTGCCCGAGGCTTCCCGAGCTTAGCCATTTTTGGCGTGGCGCGCCCCCAGCCGCCTTCCCCCCGGCGCGCGCCGCGCCCCCCCCCCCTGTTCCGCGGCCGCGACATCCGCAGAGCTCCAGCCCGCGGGGGCATCGGGGGATCCCTTCACTGGCCATCGCTCGGACGTCCTATCTCTGTGCTTTTTTCGGTTTCGTGCGTGGTTTTTTCCCACATGATCAAGGATGCTCCTCGATGGTCTTCACCGAAAGATAAATGCACACGTCCGAGCGATGCCAAGCTCACTGGAGCTGGCTCGCTGGCGGTGGTGGCCCTTCTTCTGCCTCCGAGGAGATCAGCAGGACCACCAGGTGTCATCCACCAACCAATGCAGCGATGCACCCACACCAACCCTCATCGGGCAACTACTGGCGGTCACACTGCCTCCGAGGGGAGCAGCAGGACCACCAAGCGTCATCCACCAACCAATGCAGCGATGCACCCACACCAGCCCTCATCGGGCAACTACTGGCGGTCAAACTGCCTCCGAGGGGATCAGCAGGACCACCAAGTGTCGTCCACCAACCAATGCAGCGGTGCACCCACACCAACCCTCATCGGGCAACTACTGGCTGTCACACTGCCTCCGAGGGGATCAGCAGGACCACCAAGTGTCGTCCACCAACCAATTCAACGGTGCACCCACACCAACCCTCATCGGGCAACTACTGGCGGTCACACTGCCTCCGAGGGGATCAGCAGGACCACCAAGTGTCATCCACCAACCAACGCAGCGATGCACCCACACCAACCCTCATCGGGCAACTACTGGCGGTCACACTGCATCCGAGGGGAGCTGCAGGACCACCAAGCGTCATCAACCAACCAATGCAGCGATGCACCCACACCAACCCTCATCGGGCAACTACTGGCGGTCACACTGCCTCCGAGGGGAGCAGCAGGACCACCAAGTGTCATCCACCAACCAATGCAGCGATGCACCCACACCAGCCCTCATCGGGCAACTACTGGCGGTCACACTGCCTCCGAGGGGAGCAGCAGGACCACCAAGCGTCATCAACCAACCAATGCAGCGATGCACCCACACCAACCCTCATCGGGCAACTACTGGCGGTCACACTGCCTCCGAGAGGATCAGCAGGACCCCCAAGTGTCATCCACCAACCAATGCAGCGATGCACCCACACCAACCCTCATCGGGCAACTACTGGCGGTCACACTGCCTCCGAGGGGATCAGCAGGACCACCAAGTGTCGTCCACCAACCAATGCAGCGATGCACCCACACCAACCCTCATCGGGCAACTACTGGCGGTCACACTGCCTCCGAGGGGATCAGGAGAACCACCAACTGTCGTCCACCAACCAATGCAGCGATGCACCCACACCAACCCTCACCGGACAACTACTGGCGGTCACACTGCCTCTGATGGGAGCAGCAGGACCACCAAGCGTCATCCACCAACCAATGCAGCGATGCACCCACACCAACCCTCATCGGGCAACTACTGGCGGCCACACTGCCTCCGAGGGGAGCAGCAGGACCACCGAGTGTCATCCACCAACCAATACAGCGATGCACCCACACCAACCCTCATCGGGCAACTACTGGCGGTCACACTGCCTCCGAGGGGAGCAGCAGGACCACCTAGTGTCATCCACCAACCAACGCA